AAAGAGTGATTCCTCTCTACCCTGTATTTTTGTGCAAATGTCCCTCAGATCGTCGAAAATGTCTGCAATTTTAATGTAATAAAAAAAATGACGTATTTGATATAAAAATTACTTTTGACATTTTTATATTATAAATTTATGTTGTTTTTTTTTTGCTACAGCAGCTTGATAAGGTTTTTCTAAAAATTGCTGGGCAACAATTTTACAATAATTCTTTCTGAGAAAGATTATTAGCTAGTGAATAAAAAATTTGATGGAATTACGGCATTCCAGCCTCTTTCATATCGGGTCTTTATTGCTATTTTCCAGCAATAGGGATCGCAACGAAGCACTAACATGATATTTTTATCCGAACAGCTATCGATTATCCCGCAACAATACGCGAGGGTTTCTCGCAAGTGGTCAATATCACGTATCGCACGGCCTGAACATCTACGTTTCTAGAAATGTTATTTCCACACGTTTTGACCCGTCAAATTGGCGACTTCGACCATCGACCATCGGCCTGTCTTTAAAGGCGGTATTCGCAGGCGGTGATCAAAGCGCTTCTACATCGCTTGACTTCTACTTTCTTAGGGTGGTCCTCTTTGAGATGTCACTTTGTCGAGCCTTCTCTCCCGACTCCGGAAGAATGCGCAATAGGGGTTATCGACCTGTCGTGAGATTTTACCCTTCCTTCCTCTGAAGACGCTTGCCCTGTCCTCTTCGTCTTTTCCCGTTACGTAATAAGTAAAACTGAAGGAACAGGCATGACGAGAGAACGAAAGGAAAAGAAAAGAGAACACAGAAAGAAAATAGTACAAAAGTCGAACAGACAAGACGAAACATAGGGAATTAGGCGAGGGGAGTTTTAGAATGTCGAAGAAGAGGAACTACACCAAGTGTTCCGTAAACATCTCGAGGATATCTCGCGCCAGTTATGCTATTAAAAAACGGAAACCGTGCACGCGTGCGGTTGTATAATTTTCCGGTTCTTCGAGAAGCGCGCGAGAAACTGCTCGACAAAAGAGGTCGCATTAGAAATTTTCTGTACGCCACGAGCGTGATTTTTATACTATGTTGCCGTTAGGTTGCCGTTAGGTCCGAGGAAATCTTGCAGGATTCATAATTTCACTTGTTCTTTCCCACGCTCTTCTTTCTGAGGTTTTCGTTCTCGTGTGTTTAACAGGAACTCTCGAATCTCGAACGCGCTTGGTCCACATTTGCGGTTTCTTTGACAAGAGCAAATATGTAGAATAGCTGTGTTGAAACCATAATAGCGACTAATAGCTTGGCTGTAGGAACGTAGAGCGGACCACCTAGCGTTAATCGAGCTGATCGAAACGTGTACACGCGTGAAAAGGAAGGGCGTGAACCAAAGCACAGGGTCAACGGTCTTCGCTATGTCCGTTTAAGAGACTCGAATGAAACGAATAATCGACGCGGCTCCCACGATGAGCGATGCCGATCATCGAACCGACGACCGTCGTCCCGTGAAGCGTAACCCCGTGACCGTCGACCCTTACTAAAGCCACCTTCCTCTTATGCTCGGCCAGATCACATATCGAAACGTTCCGAAAATCCAGGATTAATATTGCAATCCGATCTAAATAGCTAACATTGAAGGAAGTTTCGAATAGAGTTATCTCGTCGCAATCGTATACGTTCAACGTGACGTTAAAATTTGTCCATCATACGTGACGATAAAACGGAAAACTAATTCTCTCAATCGAGTCCGTTTATTCCTGAGATCAGAACGAGATTGGTAATAATTATATCAACATATACAAGATGAGATCGATGTCTTTCGCGGACGTGTAATAGATCCACCAGCACGAGAAACATACTGGGGAGAAAGCAGGACAAACGGAGAAAGAGATTCCGTCCGACAAGAGTTATGATGGTTGTTCACGATAGCTGTGGCACTGTGAAAACACACAGTATCCAAATTTAAAAACCGTGTTAGCTAGAAATATCTAAAAAATTACACAAACTGCTTCACGTTCATGCAAAAGTATCTTGAGGATCGATTTTTCTGTCAATAAAAATTTGTCACTTAAACAATTGAGAACGATTTGACCGACGGTGTTACGGAAATGATATCATTTCGACTTGAATCCTAAAGCTTTGTCAATTACGTAAAAGTAGATCACCAGAAGAACTGAGATTTCCCTTTCGATAAATAAAAATTCTTAGGAGTTAAAAAACATTTGACATCTTAGGAAACTCTATGGCGTTTCCATGACAAAATCGCTTTCCTGAAGAAATCCAAAGGGAGTCCACGTGAAACTACGCCAATGCGGAAGAAAGACTCTGCGACACTCATCGTCGCACCTTGTCGCGGAAGGAGCCTCTATCGATCCTCGCTGCGATATACCTAGGCGACAAGCCGAGAAAGCAAGTAGAATCGAAGTACTATCGGCGAGATTCGTCGTTAAAGAGTTCATTCGGCGAGACCTAATTTAGCCAGCCTGTCGATATGGGACACCTTTGCGGGTGACGGTGTTCCATTGACGGCGAGATTAGAACGGTAGTTTCCAGAACGCGGTTACAGCGATTTGCCTGCGAAGACATTCACTTGGGTTGGCTACACCTTAAGATGTAAACGAGAATCGCTGACGAAACGCATTCAAAGTCAGATTGCAGTCACGAAATATAATACTTGATCGTATTTATACTTTTGTTAATTTAAATCACTCAAAGTTCACTTCTTTTCCATCGAAAGAAAGCTATGTCTAATTCAAATTTTCTTGAGATAAATTCTTTCAATTTTTTAGAACAATCTCAGTCTAAAGTTTATCACGCCACGTGTAACGTATTAAGCACATCTGCAACAAATATTCATATTTACATTACGGAAGAGAATTTGTATCAGATAAGTCGGTTAGATCATTGAGTGGCGACGATATAATCTGCATGCGACACGACGTTAATTAAACGAATGCTAATTTCTGACACGACGATAGCACGAAGAGCACGTAGCTTGGGTTAATTAACGTATCGATCAAAACCGTGTTAATTAACGGCAAATAGTCTACTTCTGCATTGGAATATTCCCAATTAATCTCCGTGTGTTGCATATGGGAGCGTTCGAAATTTTTTCGTTCAATTTCGCCAAGCTCTATACGACCTTTCGATACGTCTTCATAAAGTGCCAACTTGTTACTTGTCTACTACTTCAATCATTCTCAATTGTTTTAATTAGCTTAAAGAAGAATTATTTGTAATTTCATAACGTCGTAATATTTGTTATCATCAAAATTTGGCAGATCTTGATAATAGATGTTGCAGCAACGTTATGAAATCACAAATGATTATCAAATATCTTCCTTCAAGATAATTACAATTGAAAATGATTAAAGTACAATAGTTAGATTGATAAGATTGTACTTTAGAAAAACGTGTTGAAAAGAGCTCGGTGAAATTGAAATAAAAAAAAATTTCCAAAGTTTGTTATATTTAATGCGTTTACACGTGGCGTAATAAACTTCCGACTAAGATTGTTCCCAACAATTGGAAGATCCTTTTTCAAGAAAATTTAAATTAGATATCACATAACTTTTCTTGGATGGAAAAGAAGTGATTTTTGAGCGATTTGAATTAAAAGCATAAATACTTATAAATCTGTTTTGAAACTGCAATCTGACTTCGAATGCATTTCAAGTGCGATCCTCGTTTATATCTCAAGAAACATCCGAGTAAAATCAACTAAGGATGCGATAGAACTTAGCAAAATGCGAATACTTGTTCTATCTATGCGGGAACATCCCCTTTCTCAATATCACGCGCGACCGATTTTGCAACGCAAGCATGACTCGATTTATCACAGGACAGAGGATTCCGCTCGTCGGGAGTCTAATATAGGTGCATTCCATCTAACTTTCCAGCCTCGCATGCGATCAATCTCGTAACGAGATCGGGACATCTCGTCAACACGACTCCTCGTTGACGGCCACGTCCGACGAGATCGATCCGGAGCTCTCGCGATTTCACACAGGTCTTGGTCCTTCGGCTGGTTCACGTCGCATCGTTTGCCGCATGATGATATACCAGAGATGATATGAGAGAAAATGATATGCGATAAACCCTACAGGATAAGGATCATGCCAGCTTGGGACCACTCACCTTGACGAAATGCAGGTTCTCCTTGTCGAGGAGGAACTCCATGGACTTGTGGGGCCGCTGGTGGATGGCGGACGTTGCGGCGGAGGCGACGTCGTCGCGGGGGCTCCTGTGCGTAGCGCCGACGGGCGACTGGGGTACGTGGAGG